GGGACTCTGGGATCATGACCTGAGCCGAAGGCAGTCGCTCAACCGACTGAGCCACCCAGGCGCCCTCTAATAATTTAACTCTTAAAGCAAGCATTAAGTCACACATCATAGGCATTGACATAATAAACAAACTAGACGCTTACCTGCCAGGAAACTGCTCCTAAAATCGCTGTTGCAAGAAGACTAAAAAAAACTAACTGCTCTGAAATTAAGCAAAAGTGACGCATCCCTTTGGATGCCATGATTCTATCAAGGCTATTGTTATCTACCCTGTGGGTGAAATATACTTTATGGCAGTCATTTAATTTGGTATGGAATCCCCAAAGAGTTAAGAGAAAAATAATATGGCAAATCATCCAGAAAATTCCAAAAATGGAAAAGCCTGGTATTACAAAATACCAGAGGTGAGTATCTCTAAGTTTAAATGCTGAAAGAATAAAAAAGGTAAGCTCAATCATTCCTGTGAAAACGACTGAAAGTCTTCTGCATATTCTTCCACGGTACAAAAAGGGTTTCCACCTTTCAGTCACTGAAAGTCCACTAAAATAAATGTCAAGGAAAGGGTCAGTTATCAGGCAGATAAAAAAACATGCAAAAGCAACTGGATTTTTGGGAGTTTCCAATGAGGAGAAAAACAGCAAGACTGCAAAAATAACTAAGTTTGGAATAGCTAAGAAAGACTTCATTCTCAGGTCAATAATCAGCATGGCCAAAGCTACAACAAGTAAAATGACACTCAGAGACTTCTCCACCAACATAGTTGTGCTGGCAACAGCAAATCCAACAAGTTCCAGAAATTCAACTGTGGTTAGTAAAGTGGGTCGATGACGGACATACCCAGAAATTCTCTCCACCAAAGCGCATAATATCCTTAGTACTATGGAAGTTAGAAGCAAATATTTGGTTGACTCTTCTTTCACATCATTTTTAAAGGATGAATTGTCAAGAAAACATAGGAGGCCAAGCAAGAATCCAAACCAAAGATTGGAGAGACTTAAACTTGCTGCTTGCATTGAAAAATAATAATAGAGTATGCTGGCAATTCCAAGAACGAAAAGACCAAGAATAAAAATTACCAAAATTAAGGAATTTGCTGTTTTTTCCCATCTTACATAAAGACCTAAGCATATAGCAACCAATAAATTGATTCTGGCTAAATAGCCAAGATAACGCACTGAAGAATGCATATTCACTTCTCTGTTGACTTCTTCCAGTCTTGTCATTGCTAAATACAGACAATGACTAAAGCAGTAACGCAGTGATTTACACATGTAATCTGGCAATTTGGGCTTTCTCCCTGTGGTACAAAAATTAACTGCTTGTTTTTCATCCAGCAAATCCAACGTATCCGTAACTCCTATTTCAGCATTTCCTCTGGTGGAATTTTTGTTTATCGTGATCTAAAAAGCAGAAAAAATAAGTCAGTGTTAATTTTATATAATTTATATTTTAGCTCTCTCTTCTTTGTAGAAAATAATAAATAAATGAGAAATAAAGTTTCTTTTGAAACTCAGTTTTAAATTTTACTTGCATGTATCTTAATGGCAATTGTTTCTGGTTTAAAAACTCAGTTTATCCATATAAAAATGACAGTGCTTTCTACTTAACATATGCTAAGAAGTATGACTAAATCACCACTAGTGAAACTGTTTTTCCAAAGACTAAGCCATTCTTACTTCAATGGTTAGTTTTTCAACTACAATGTGTAAATGTGAGATATTCAACCTAGCTTAGATTGTAGAAGATGGATCTGGCACAATCAAAAACTACTCAGCAGCTAAACCGAATGATGGGCTTCATCATTACATCTAATTTGAAAAGCACTTGTATCCAGTAATAGCAACCGTTCCTACCTAAAATCCTCTCCATCTTTTTACAAGGCAGCTCTAACAGGCTATAAAATCTTAGTCTTTACATTGTTTAACTAATAAACTTACCAGAAGTAAAGTTTAACTGCATTAAAGTTAGTCCCTAAAGTTAACCCATAATTTTCCCTATACTTTGATCTCTACTAAATTACTTGGATTATCAAACCTCCTTTCTAGATCTAAATACTATCTCTGTAGCAAACCAATTCCTGAACTTTCTAGTCAAAATTCTGAAGTTAGAATGCTAACCAATATTTACATTAAATAACCAATATTTAAACTTTATATATGTATTTTTAAAGATTTTATTTGACAGAGAGAGAGACAGCAAGAGAGGGAACACAAGCAGGGGGAGTGGGAGAGGGAGAAGAGGCTTCCTGCCGAGCAGGGAGCCCGATGTGAGGCTCGATCCCAGGACCCTGGGACCATGGCCTGAGCCGAAGGCAGACGCTTAATGACTGACCCACCCAGATGCCCCTAAACTTTATACTTTTACTTTTAAAAAGTTAACAATTATTCGTTAAAGAACCCAGATAATTATTTTAGGCTTTGAGTGCCCCCACAAATTGCACTTAAAACATGACAATGGCCAAAAAATGCTTTAACTATCTACCAGATAATTCTTCAAAGTTTATGTTATACTGTTTCAGAACTGATCCATTCAACAGCTCATGGTCACAATAAATATCCATGGAGAACTCAACCAGACAAAAATTTAAAAAAATGACTTGTTTGCGATGAGCTTATTTATACTTTCTTAACAGTAGGACACATGAGAGGCACCTGGGTGGCTCAGTCGGTTAAGCGTCTGTCTGCCTTCGGCTCAGGTCATGATCCCAGAGCACTGGGATCGAGTCCTGCACTGGGCTTCTTGCTCAGCGGGGAGCCTGCTTCTCCCTCTGCCTGCTGCTTCCCCTGCTTGTGCACACTCTCTCTCTGACAAATAAAATCTTTAAAGAAAAAAAAAAATAGTAGGACACTAAAAGAAAGACCCGAAAGAAACATGATAACCTGGAATTAACCCTTAATTACTCATTTGGCTGGAGAAGAATTTTACTGAGCGACAATCTTACAGTCTCTGGGATGTTCCAAGTACTATTACTAATTCTACTTCGCACTAATTCTACTTCAGCAAGTGTATTTTTTACAGATAAACCTATTTGAGTATTCTGATTTTCCTCAATTACATTTTCATCCCATCATTTCTTAAGATACCATACACCGCTAAAAAAATGTCTTCCTTTGGTATATTTTGCCTTTACCTTTTTGCTTATATGTAAGATATTGATAAAATCTAGAGTGCTTTGCATTTTTTTTTAACATCACTCCTGTAATATAATTGTTCAACAAATAGGTTGGAATACAGATCCTCAAAGGGTTGATGGTACAGTCTGGGCTTAGACAACTGAACACTGCTGAAGAAAAAAACAATCACACACCAGGCTCAATGGTTGCCACGCAATTCACGAGACATCCTTCTGTTTCTTTGGTCAACACTCTCCCATTTTGTGACTACCCAACCTCTCTTCCTTAGCCTCAAATCTCTGACACCCACTTCCCACTCACTGCACTCTCACTAGATGACTGCCTCCAACAGAGTTGTCAGAAGAGAGCTTACTTGAGTTTCCGACACCACAAACCCACCTCTACCGACATCTCCTGATATGGGGGAAGAAGGATGTCCCTTCCCTATCTAAGGCTAAATCTTTCAGACATACTGGCTATCTTTTCCCCTCTACCTCTTCCAGAACTTCACAATCTCTTCGCTCTTCAAACTCCCACTCTTCTCTTAGCCATTAGCACTTAAACGTTTGCAAAGCTCTTTTTAAAAACAATACCAAAAAAACCCAGAAACAAAAACAATCTTCACGCATCCCCATCTTCTCTTCCAAGTTCAATCTTCCGTCCTCTTTTGACAGCTATTCTACGATTGCTTCACTTCTCACACCACTCAACAATGGTTCCTACCATACAACAAACTGCTCTGCCAAATTCTAAAGTGACCTATAAGCTCCTAAAACCAATGCGTACTTTTCATTTATTATCCTGCACTTTCTTCAAACAACCTTTGACATTGTTGACTCCTCTCAATTTCTGAAACCTGCCCTTCCTTTAGCTTTCAAAGACCAACCTCCAGATTTTCTTCTAACTCAGTGACCTCTCCTTCTCCATCTTCTTGCAGACTCTTGATTCTCAATCCATCCTTTGGATGTTCAATCCCAGGCCTAGGCTCTTCTCTCACTGTACACTTTCTATGAGCAATCTCAACTATTTCCATGTCTTCAATTATTCTCTCTCCCTAATTATATACATATATTAATCTGTCTGATATAAATAAAAGCACCAACTCTCTTAGAGGTAAAACCCTAGAAAAAAGGTAAACAAGGGCGCCTGGGTGGCTCAGTCGGTTAAGCGGCTGCTTTAGCTCAGGTCATGATTTTGGGGTTCTGCAATCAAGCCCCACGTCCAGCTCCTTGATCAGCAGGGAGTCTGCTTCTCCCTCTCCCTCTACTCCCACTGTGCTCGCTCTCTCTCAAATAAATACTTAAAAAAAAAAGAAAAAAGGTAAACATGTAAATTATACCCATAACATCCATATCATAGAATATATGCAACCACACTGTCAAAATCAACATGCAGAATATTTTTAAATGGCTAATTTACAAGTCTTTCCACATTCTGAACTTCTTCAAAGGACAAACTGGCTGCATCAGAGTAAGACAACAAAGCAACAGCATCTTTTCAACTGGTCTGCCATTACTTGATTCAATGAGAAATTACTTGTGAGACAGATAAAAATGGAGCACAGAAGAGTCAATCTGCATAGGGGAACTCCCAGAGTCTGTTTTATAAAACCCCACATACTACTCTAACCCTCCTCTCCTTCACCACCTATATTTAGTCCTCACCAAGTCCTGTCCACTCTTCTTCCTATACACATCTTAAATGTTTCTATTTTCCATCCCCAAAGTCAAAATCCCAGTTTTGGCTATCATGGTCTCATGCTTCAATGTCTCCCTATATCTACCTGTGCCCTCTCCAAGAAGTGTCCCTTTTAAAATAAAAAATTTGTTAGTCCACTCTGTTCTGTAAAAACCCTCAAATGGCTTCCGAGCACCTTAAGCAATAAAGTCTAAACTCCTTAAAACGCCTTATAAGGCTCTCCATACCATATGTGAATAACTTCCCTGCCGCATCTATTTTCTTCTTTTCTGCTTGAACTTCGTATTCCAGCCATACTGACCTTTTCAATTCTGAAGTGCACCATTGCTATTCCCTCTCCAGGTACACTTCTTCCCTCTTCCTAGACCCATCCCAGTCCTCACACCTGGCTCACTCCTACTCTTCAGGTCTCACTTAAATCATTTTCTTGGTGAGATTACCCCTGACTCATTTATATGATCCCTGCACTTCTTCTATAATAGCAAAATGCTGATTGTCATTTGCTTAAGGTCTGCATTCCCTACTAGATCACAAGGTCTCTGAAAGTTTGTCTTTAATACTGCGTACCCGTGTCTTAGCAGAAAATTTGGCACCAAGTAGATATTCAACAAATACCTGTGAAAGAAATAGGGACTAATACAGAAATAATTATATTTAATAACAATGCAAGTTATTGGACACTTAGTAATACATGAAGAGACTAAAGTTGTATAATATCCCACAGCGCGTAAGTAATAGAACTAAGGGAGAGTCCATGAATGTTTGGTTTGTTTCTCTTTTCGCCTTACTTCAGCCTTCACTTAATTCATCCAAATTCCTCCAAACCAGTGCGTTCTCTTCCATGTCCTACCTCTAGGGCTCAATAGAGCCACTACATACACACTCTTCACTTCCATCAGCTTTGGACTCAGACACTATTTCCGTCCCATCTAGAAGCGTCAAAAGCTGAAAGAACCATACTGAGCACCTAAGGTCGGGGAATTCCCGTGCTTTGATTCAATGAATTCATGTGAACTCTTTGGGCCCACTACATACGAGGAGAATGGCAACTTAAACATCCAATCTCTTAGTACTGGGGCAACAACAGCAATTCTTCCAGAAAAAGCCTGCCTGTTCTCTACCACCCCTCTACTTTGGGAGACGGCAACGACAACTGGGGGCCCAACTGCCTGGGGAACCGCGGGGGATGTGGAGCACCCCACCTTCCAGCCTCCAACCCCCACCGTCACTACTCTCGGGGCAGGTATCGCAACCTCGGCCCCGGATGACCGGCTGTGCGGAGCTAGGGGCTCGAACGACGCAGAGACCTGGGCGGTGTCTGTGCTCAGGTCTTGCCACCCCGCTGTTCACCCCGACCTCCCTACCTGACTCGGCCGCCGCCACCAACGCTCTCTCAACCCCGGAGTCGGCTCTGGGGCCAACACAGTAAAGGGAGGCCCCTTGGGGCTGAGCTTGCGACTCGGATCTGGGAGGTGGCACGCCGGAGGAGGGGGGGTGTCGAGGGCCCGAGGCCACAGGCACTAACACAGGCCAGTCTCGTTGGAAACTTTCTCCGTTACCGGCCCGACCGCGGCCGCCATGTTCCTGCCGCCGGATCCGCGACGGTACGGAACGCCGCCGGGGTCAAACCGCGCGGCGCGCTTCCTCCCTGAGGCCCGGCCCCCTCCCCGCCCAAACTCCCCGTGCGGCCGCCGCCCCAGGTGTGCCCGGCGCTGCGACAGCACACAGAGCACCCCCCACCCCCAACCTAGGGTGCCGGCTGAGTCCGGCCTCCGTCGCCTTCTGGGACCTAGGATCGGCGGCGAACAGGGAGCGGGAAGACCACGAAGGATCACGTAGACCGTGCCCATGAAGCCTTTAGGCCGCCGCCTCGGGCTGGACGGAAAGTGGGACAGGACGGGCGGGATGGTCCACACGTGGGCGGCAAATACCGCAGGAGGCGTTGCTGTTCTTTAGTATCTATGGCATAATGCATGGCTTTGTGTCCGCTGACCAGCAGAAGCCCAAGTTCCTTAGGCTCGCCTTCAAAGCCCTTCTCGCCTCCTTTTCTAATTAAGACTCCTTTTAAGTCACTGCCTGGGTCTTTACCCCACCGACAGCGCTGAGCTCCCCAGGCCTGGCCTGTTCCATTCCCCTTCTTCCACCTATCCCTTACACGTTCACCAGCCTTTCTTTCTTTTTTTTAATTAACACATAAAGTATTATTTGCTTCCGAGGTACAGGTCTGTGATTCATCAGTCGCCCAGGCCTGATTCTCATTTGTACTCTGAACTCCTTGAATAAACGTAGGGGGAGGCAGCACTTCACAACAGCTGCGTCCGGTGGTTTTGGAGTTTGGAACCTGGTTGCTCCTCTTTTCTATGTGCAACCTGTGTTTCTCTGAAAAACAAAAACTTTTTTGCAAAGATATTGTGTAAACTATTTTTTTTCTGGCAGAAGGTAGGCCTTCAAAAAGTATGAATTCCTTTCCCCTCTCTAAGAGGCCCTCCCTTTCTGCCTGCTTTCTATCCCTCCCATCATTTTCTGCTCCTTGTAGCTCTTAGGTCAGTTAATCTCTCTGAACCCCAGTTTCCTCATGTGTTAATTGGATACTAATAACACCCACCCTACAGGGTTGTTGTAGGGATTAAGTGAGATCATGTACGTAAACAAATACCTTAAAAACTAGATGTTTTATCCCCTTTAGAGTAAAGCCCAAAATCCTTCCAGAGGTATGGACAAGTTCTGTAGCCTGGCGCTTTTTTACCTCCAGCGTGATCTCCCACAACACTCCCCCAATTGTCTGCACCCCAGTCTGCTTTCATTTCCTCAAATGCCAGGACATGTCCAGTTTTGCTAACCATTAAATCAGCCTGGTGTAGTACCATAGTTGGTACTTAAATATTTGTTAAGGGGCGCCTGAGTGGCTCAGTCGTCAAGCGTCTGCCTTCGGCTCAGGTCATGATCCCAGGGTCCTGGGATCGAGCCCCGCGTCGGGCTCCCTGCTCAGCGGGAAGCCTGCTTCTCCCTCT